CTATGCTGAATGAAAGATTTTATACATGTTTTAAATGATTTAAACTGTATATGTATTTTATATCTATAAAATATGTTGGGTAAAACATGGGTAGATGAAATATGAATTGAATGTTGAGATAAGAGGTGATATAGACCATGAGATAAGGGTGATAGGTGAACAATGAGAGAAGTCTTTTACCCAAGCGTGGCCCCGTCATCTAGCAGAGTATGGATGACAACCACAGACTATTCTTGACAGTCCAGTGGAACACTAGCAGGCTCGCAACCTGTAGGTGTTGTGAACGATGTGGTTACCCGGTGTACTCTAAACCCTGGCGACCATGCAGACTTGGTACCTAAACCTTGGCGATCATGCAGACTTGGTGCCTAAACTGTGGCGATCATGCAGACTTGGTGCCTAAACCGTGGCGACCATGCAGACTTGGTGCCTAAACCCTGACGACCATGCAGACTTGGTGCCTAAACCCTGGCGACTATGCAGACTTAGTGCCCGTTGTGTAAACCGTGGCAACGATGGACTTCGTGCCGATTCCTTAGGATGATCCTTATGAATGAATGAACGAGGAATAGTTGATTCTTAGAGTAGATCCTTAAGAGTAAAGAAGATAATGGGGATGGGTAATTGGGCTGATTGTTTGATGTTTAAACATAATAATTATATTATTGTGGGTTGAAAATCCTATGTACTCACCAGGTTTCCCAACCTGACCCACTCAGTTTATTTGTATCACAGGTGTCTATATGAAGTTACATTACACTGAGGGATTAAGGAGATAAAAATCACTAGTGATAACGAATGTAAGTTTTGTTTATGCTTATGTTTCTGTATTAACGATAACATCCCAATGTTTTAAAATGAATAAAAATACATTTCTTCGAAAATGTTTTGATAACGTATTTATCATGTTTTTCTGGGAACAAATTCCGCAACACTTTTATTTAAAATGTTACTCTGATTTTTAAACAAAGCATAAACAAAATCGGTCTTTTCTGGCCGTGAAAATGGGGATGTCACAGATGTGTCACTCGGATGTCAAGTTCATTAAGATGCTCAAGATTGCCCAAATGTTTCTCATAAGAATGAAGATGATTATATAGGATGTTCCACGTGGTTGATGCGCCATCATGATACCAAGTGATACATGATGCGTCATCATGTGTTTTGGTTGATGCTCATGAGGTTGAAGATTATAGAAGCGCTTGCATGACATTTTGTGATTGGTTTGAAATTAGTACATCCCCATTATGGGCTAATTATGGATGGGCATGACCCATCATAATTAGGGTTTCCTATGCTTGCCTATAAATAGGTTCATATCTCTATCATTGTTAATCGCACATAAATTTCAAAAGAGCAATCATTGTAAGGTTGAGAACACATCCTTTGGAGCAGTTAGTAAGCAAAAGAGATTCTTTTGTTTTGAGAACTCAAGCGATGTGTAACCCTTGTGTGTGATTGTAATTGTCCATGGAAATTTAATAAAATCCCTCTCTCTCTCTTCTCTCTCTCTCTCTCTCTCTCTCTCTCTCTCTCTCTCTCTCTTAATAAAAAAACCATAAAATGACATGTGAAATAAAAATAAATTTAAAATAATCACAAAATGACAAAATAAATGAAAAAATTGACATGTATCAAAAGAATATATATATATATATATATATATATATATATATATATATGTGTGTGTGTGTGTGTGTGTTCAAAAAAGAAAAAGTCTAACGGTCACATTCCCTTCCAAGGTTCCGATTCTCCATTGACAACATATTACATGCAGCATTTTTGCCGCCAGCAAAAAACGAAAGGCAGGTCGTTGTTCACCGCCGGCAAAAGTGTGGCATCTCGGCGAATGGGTGTCAATAACATTTAGTCTAAAAATGGTTGAATAACTATGCAGGGTGTCTATATTGTAAAATATTTTTTTTAGCCGACTTCTTTTGTAATTTTCCATAAAAATATAAATTATTATTACATAAAGAAATAAATATATGAGTTTAGTTAAATGGGAAATGGTAAAAATGTATATTTGGTCAAAAGACATATGAAGGCTTCAATCCTATATTACGGGGTCAAGGTTGTAATGTACGAAGAGGGTTTTCGGCGTTTTGTTGAAATTTTCTCTTCTCCAATAGAAGGTTCTTTTTTGAATATTTGCATTCTAAAGTTTGCTACCATAATCGGCTGCTCAAACTTATTAAAATCAAATATTTCTTTTCGAATCTTTGAATTCTAAATTTGCTATTGGTTGTTTAAAGTTTAAACTTACTACAGATAAATATTATCAAAATGTAACCAAGTGAAAAATAGATTAACCGTCTACCGTGCTTTGGTTTTAATTTTAGAAAAAAATAACGACTTAAATCATGTGATTTGGCATTTGGTTTTAATAGCTTGAGTTCAAACTCCATTTCTTTTTATTAAATTCCTTTTTATAGAATCAATTCAGCTGCCAACTATTTTTGACATTTTAAAACGCCATGTTTTACATTTAACGTTATTCTAATTTTTTTAACGACAAATCTAATCAACTTTTTAGTTCCATCATATGTCCACGATAAAGACTTGAACCCTCAACCTCAACAAAATAAGACAACATCTGATTCCGCTGGGTTAGAAGCTTTCAGTAAATTACCCCAATTTCAAATATAAATATCAACAGTTAAATTACCATTTTAAAAGCATGGAATTAATATTGTTTGATAAGTACGATACGTAGTGGGTCATAATTTTCGAAGAATATACAAACTTCTGCTTTATATATATAAGTTAGGAGTTGTTTGTATGTTTTTTACTGGGTCTGATAATAAAATAAGTCTGATTTGGTAATATTCATACCGTTTTACACCAGAATTAGTAGGATCGGATTCAGTTTTACAATCAATGATATATCTTTTGATACCATGTCTAGTAAAAAAATAGATATGTCTCGATGAGAACTTGACTTAGCTAAATTTGACTCAATCATCTACTATCAATCAACTATTAACCATCAACTAACCAAAAGGTCATCAACAAGTTGAGGTTGAGGGTAACTGAAAATTAGGTTAGGCTTAGGTTGGTTTTTTTTTACCAAACCACGTTGGACGTTAGATTTAAGATTTCTTAAAAAACTTAAGGTTAACAAACTATAAACGCAACAACTAAAGTGTGAGTACATGTATATGCGTGTATTCGTTAATTTTATGTATATTCTAGTATACACTTCTTATTTTCGGTGAATATGTGCAAAAACAAGTTAATAAACTACATAAACAAATTGAAGCGAAATTGCGTAAGTCTAATTGTAAAACTCGTTAATTAGGACAATAACTTTTAATAATAAAAAGTTATTTGTGTTTTAACGAGGAATTAAATTTTAAAAGATTTATTCTACGTGTTTTACTAAAATAAGAAATTAAGAAAGGCCAAAGGAAAAAAATGTTAATGTCATAAACACCCTTAAGTTTTCAGTGTTTTGTCGGTTTTGCTTAAAATTGAATTTTATGTTCATTTTTACCCTCATATTTTCCAAAAACTGTTCGCTCTTACATTTTTCCGGTGATAACACGTTTTCCAGATTACCATTATATTAACTTCGCAAAAACTCTTACGTTTACAATTTTTTATGTTTCTACCCTTAAGTTTATAATTTTTTTACACTTTGACCCTAAGTTTTTTTTTTCATATTATACATATTCATGCAGAAAAATCATATTTATATACAAAAATAATTTTAATTAAATATTGTATTTAAATTTTTTAATGTTACTTATTTATATATATATATATATATATATATATATATATATATATATATATATATATATAGATATATATATATGAGTTTTTTTTGCATTGTCATACCATTTAAAACATAAAAAAATATTTTTAGAATTTTGAATACGTATTTTGTAGATACATTTTTAGAAGTATAAATACATATGTTTACATTTTTAGAAATATTAATATGTATCTATACTTCTAAAAATATATTTACACTTTTAATATATATATATATATATATATATATATATAGATATATATATATATATATATATAATACATTTTACACTTCTAAAAATATATGTATATGCTTATAAAAATGTAATAATAAATATTTGTACTTCTAAAATACATATTAATATTTCTAAAAACATATATATATATATATATATATATATATATATATATAATATCTATATATATCTATATATATCTATATATATATATATATGCTTAGGTTATTTTGTTTAAAGTAATTATTGTGTTATTGTATGCATAAATGTGGGCCAATCAAATTTACTTATTTTAAGAAAGTGATTAATATACATTATTGAATTAAATATAATTGAAAAATTCATCTTAATTACTTACAAGGGTAATTTAGTCAATTAATATATATTTAATAAAGGAAAATTGCATTTTTTAAGGGATCATAGATTCTATTAATTTTAAAAATCCGATTTTACGAATTATAATTCTTTTAATTCGGACATTCTGACAGAATATGTTTATGAGTATATTCAAAAATAAAAATATTCTTGAACCATAAATAATAAAAATATTGTTGAACCTATTGATGATGACTTTAAAAACTTCTTGAAAAGTAACAACTTCTTGTAGAATAACAAAATCTTGAACAATCAATTGAAGAATAAAAACAAAAAATACATTATTTCTTATAGAATACGGGTAACAATTGTTAAGAATTACATTTATTGTTAAAGAATAAAACTAAAAAAACAATCAAAACGGGGAAGAAACATCAAAATCTAACAACGACTAATACATTCTAAAGGAATAATGTGGTCCGTTCTTCAAGCATCAACTTCTGTGATTCCAACAGAATTGGAATTTGTCATTCCATTCCAACGTTCACGCCCTTGATCATCATGTCTCCTTCACGCATTCTATAAGAATAACTGCTATGAAATTGTACATTTTAATACAATTACACATATTCTAACAGAATGTCATAAAAAATAAATAAAATCTTAAAAAGCATGGAATGGTGAACAGAAATGGAAGCTGGGATATATCAGCAGGTGTTGAATGGTGAACTTGACCTTGAATCAGACCCATGGCCAAGTATATCTGAAAGTGCAAAAGATCTTTTTAAAGGAATGCTCGTAAGAAACACCAAAAAGAGGATGACAACAAGTCAAGTTCTGAGTGAGTATCAACTACTTAAACTCTCTAATTTCTTTGGATATTTTTTTTATTTTGAGTTTCCAATTCTATATTCTCATGTAATGTAGATCACCCATGGATTCAAGTTGATGGTGTTGCTCCAGATAAGCCTCTTGATACTGTTGTTCTATCTCGCTTGAAGCAGTTTTCTGCTATGAACAGAATCAAGAAGATAGCCATAAAAGTAGGTTTTATTATATATATTATGTTTACCATTTTTTCTTAAAGATTGAGATTAGTTTAGTGATTTGAACAGGTTATTGCTGAGAGTCTATCTGAAGAGGAGATTGTTGGATTGAAAGAGATGTTCAAGATGATGGACACAGATGGCAGTGGTCAAATCACATTAGAGGAATTAAAGGAAGGGTTGGTAAAAGCAAGCGCCAACTTTAAGGATTTAGACATGAACAAACTTATGGAAGCGGTAGGTAATTCACATTAACTACAATAATTGATTAATTTCCATGAACACCTGCAAAACTGTAAAAAAAACCCTAAACCGAATCCAAATTAAATTGAAGGCGGATATCGACAACGATGGAACGATATACTATGGGGAGTTTTTGATTTTTAATTTTTAGAATCTAAAGGGTAGAATTTCAATAAACAAGAACATACATGTTCTTGAGCAATTTCAAGCAGGCCCTTCTCAAGCTTTTGGCCCCTTAATTCCAGAACCTAGAGTAGACACACACATGATAAAATCCAAATCAAAAACCTAAGAACCCATTAAGATTGTGCGAATTAGTTATACAAATTGAAATTATGTATTAAATGAAGATTGAAAAAGACCATTAATGGAGATGGAGATGTGAGGAAGAAACCTTGAGGGGGCGAACTGAGAATCATTTGCTTATGGCAAGACCGGTACGAGACAACCCAAGATCAATTCCTAGACTGAATCCACCCAACCACCTGGAATCAAGCTTCCTTCGCATGGCGTTTGGGGGAAAAGGAAAAGGGTGTTCTTCGACTTCGAGTGAGATATCTGCCCTAATTTTTGAAGTACGCACTCGTACAGAATTTGAGTGAGAATTGAGGTGTATATTGGAAGGATTAGTGGGTGAAAGTGTAAATAATGTTGGCAATCCATGCGTCTGCGCCATTTTCATTCTCTCGTTCCTGATGCCCTTCATCACCTTCATCGATGTACACGGTCGATAACGGCTGCCCTTCTTTTTGTTTCAGGTCATTATCGACGGCTGTATATAAGAAAATAAATTAGGTTAAGAGTGAAGGCTAGCAAGATTATAGGGATTATTTTTGGAAGTTATTAAACAAATGACTAAATTACCCTTATTTATTTATTTAATTATTTAATTTTTTATTTAATTTCGATTGACCCACATTTATGCATACGATAACACAATACTTAGTTTAAACAAATGAACCTAGCTATATATATATATATATATATATATATATATATATATATCTATAGATATATATATATAATAAACATGATTATATCTGAATACGTTTTTTTGCATATAAATATGTTTTTTTATTGATATGTATATATTTTTAAATAAATAAAAATACTCATTTGTAATTCTAAAAATATATTGATTTGTTTCCTTATATATATATATATATATATATATATATATATATATATATATAAGTAATAACGTTAAAAAAACGTAAATACAATATTTAATTAAACTTTTTTCGTATATAAATGCGATTTTTTTCACATGAATACGTATAATATGAAAAAAAAATACTTAGGGTAAAAGTGTAAAAAAAATTATAAATTTAAGGATAAAAACATAAATAATAAAAATAAAAAAAAAACCTTAATTTTTTTTTTTTTTTGCGAAGTTAATATAATGGTAACCAAAAAAACTTGTTATCATCGGTAAAAGGGTAAAACCGAATATTTTTTGGAAAGTATGAGGATAAAAACGAACATAAAATTGAACTTTGGACAAAACCGATAAAACTTAAGGGTTTTTATGACATTAACACAAAAAAATGAAAGGTGTGTAACCCAAATGGTTAGGATGTACAAGAGGAAAACGAAAATGAAAAATCACACTATGATATTAAATTCAATAGAGGGATTGTAAAAGATGTATTTCTTTGAACAATAGGAAATATTTTTAGTTTTTTTTATGTTAGAAATAAGATGTGGATCATTTTTTTCCCATATTTTTAGTCTTTATAGATAAAAATTATTGCTTTTCAAAAAGAATGGTGGTGGACGCAGTGACAGTAGTGGTGGTGGTGCTGGCGAATATGACAACAACGACGGAGGCAGAGGTGGTGGTAGCGGCAACGATGACGAAGGTGGAGGTGGAAAAAGGAAATATCACAATGTAATTAGAATTTAGAAAACATCTTTCAAAATCAAAAATAATTTTTTTCTTATAAAAAAAGATGTTAGAAAGACATTTTTATATCTTTTGTCTTCTAAAAAACAAAGAAGTTTTTCCTCAAATGTATTTCTTCTCTCCGACATAATAAGAGCATAGGCAGAACCATGGGGTTTCAGGTGTGGGCCATATGGCATGTATTACCCCCTTAAATTTTCAGGCATAAGAATTCTTTTTCGAAATTTTTCAGGGTAATGTTAATTTTTCAACGTGCTAACCACAAAATCAACCTAAGTTTGCAACCTAATCAGTTGTTTTAGGGTTTTAACTATTAAAATTTTCATCTTTAGTGTTGACTTCCATTACTTTTTGAAACTAAAACCAAATAATATAATCTTTTAACATTTTGATATAGAAACATATTTTTATGATGTAGCGACCACTAATTAATAATAGAGGTTAAAGACGGAGTATTGTAATCAAGATTGATGCATAATTATAGAAACAAATTAGTGGTATTATATAAGGAAAAAAAATGTTAGATAGATGTGTGAAGCAATATGGGGCAATGTAAAAAAAATCAAATTAATATGATAAAAGATAAATCAATAATAAGAGATAATTCAAAGGTTAATAAGAGATACTTCATATGGTAACCATTGAAATTTCTTTTATGTATGTACATTGTTGGGAATCAAAAAAATGATTATATCATTCTCATTTTTTTTACAAACGATATTCTATAAACATCTAATCTAATCGATTTTTAAAATTTTTTAGATTTTTAAAAATTTCAAGTAATTTTAATCATTACTTTTGAGTATTAATACTTCTGAACACCAAATAGTAAAAAAAATCCATTAAAACTTTGAGAAAACATATTTTTTTAATGATAAAACACTAATTAATGATAAACACTGATAATATTATGATGAAAATTGGTTGACAGGACCGGTCCAGACGGTGGACAATTCGGGCGATCGCTCAGGACCCACGTCTCTAGGGCCTAAATTTTCTGAGCTATGTGGTGTGTATATATATATATATATATATATATATATATATATATATATTATCTAAATGATTTTTAGGGCCTAAAATTGGTTCAAACTCAAACTAGCTCAAAAGATAAACAATTTTGTTTGCTTGTTATTGCTAATTGAACGCGTTTATAATAAAGAATAAATGATATTTTTTTGAGTTTTTATTATATTTGTCTTTAATTGGACATTTTTTTCTTTTTGGCCCGGACCCATATACCTTTGGATCGGCCATGTTGGTGGATGATAGAAATAAATGAGTATTATTATATAAAGAAAAGAGGAAAAATAATATAGATATGTCATATGTAAATCAATATGTGACAAATATATAGATATATATATATATATATTATATATATATATATATATATATATATATATATATAGCACTGTTTTGAAAAATGTTTTATCGTTAATCACATTTTTCTGAATGATATTTTTAATAAGAGATAAATAGATGTTGCTTTTGTTTGGCTATTATTTTTAGATTTGATGCAAACAATCTATTCTTCTTTACTAAATTGTCCAACAGTCCCAAATGATGTTTTTTTTTCTCTTAATTACCTTCTTAAGATCAGTTTTATTTATTTATTTATTTATTTTGGAAATGCATTAATTAACCCCGCCAATTTTTTTAAAGCCAAACAAATTCCATCTAAATTTCAATTATTCGTTAATCATGTGTATTTAAATTATATTTAATAACAATTAAAGTGTTGTTTGTTTTTTTGAAGCCAAAATGTCTGCAGTCTGCGGACCACATCTGCAACCCTTTGCGGCAGAAGTGGTGGACCAAATGTATGCAGTCTGCAATAAAAAGACTGTTTGTTTTTAACGTCTGTAGCTGTTGAAATAAATTGATTTTTCAAACTTAATTTATACCATAAACATTAAAAATGCATTTTCAGCAAAAAAAAGAAAGAAAAAAAAATTGTACGGTGGCCCATGTTTTTTTTTGGTTTAGGTTAAAATAGGGTATGAAGACCTTTGAAGATAGTGGTCCATGTCTGTGCCAGGAAGAGCTCGCGCAGACGTTTTTTGATCTGCGCACTTCCAAAAAATAAACACTCTGCGAGGGCATATGTCTGCACGTTGTCTGTGCGGCGCAGACAAAAGTGGTTGCGCAGATCTTCACAAAAAAAAACAAACAACCCCTAAGTATTCCATTAATAATTAAACATTCTCATTCAATAATACATATGTATATTATAACACTAGTTTATAACTCATTGAAACCATTGTTACAAAATTAATTAAACATTTATAGTAAAAAGCTTAAAATTATTAGTCAATTGTTTTAAACTAGTTTATAACCCGTAGGAACCACGGTTACAAAATTAATTGAACTTTCATAGTAGAAACTCATGATTATTAATTAATTAATTAAAATAAATTATTAATTAAAAGATATTCTATGTAGTTATGTAAAATTATAATCATTGATTAATTTTAAATTTACATATTAATTGTAATGTTTTTTTAAAAAAAAAAATTCTTATGTAAAATCTATAAATATATCACCTTGTAATTTGTTTAATTTTAAATTCAGATTTTAATTGTAATGTTTTAATTTATATTCATGGCATACTAAGGCCCAAAAAGGAAATGAAGTAATTTTATTTTTTATGGAAACTTATTTAATGTGGGAAAATGCAATTCAAAAAGAAGAACCACAAAATGACACGTGACATATGAAATTAATGAGAATGTGTAATACTTTGACACATGGCAGAAGGATATGAAACCTATTCTTTTATTAAAATAGGAAGAGGGAGATAAATAAATTATTTTAAATAAATAATTAATTAAAAGATATTTTTTTAGTTATATAAAACTATAATAGTTGATTTAAATAAATATGTGAAATTATATCACCTTATAATCTATACTAATTTTATTTTAATTTTTATTCTAGTATTATTAATTTAAAGTAATTAGATTGAGAAATTTAAAATTTAATTTTTTTTAAAAAAATCAATAAATTAACAAGTGACATGACATTAATTAAGAGACTTAATAGAATAACAAATAACAAAATAAGAATAAAATTATTTTTTTGAGTAAAATTGAAAGATTAGAACAGAGAGATTGTATTTTTTATGTTATACATAATTTAGTTTTAATTTATTATAATATAACAAAACTCATCATATAGTTTTAAATAAAAAGGGCATACATTTATTTTTTAAAGAACAAATTACACAAATGGTCCTTAAGGTTTTGTTTTTTTCCCTAAAATAATCCTTATGAAAATGTTTTCCTTTAAATGGTACCTACGGAGCAAACCTTGCACACAAATGATCTTTATAACTAACTTTGTTAACAGATTCTGTTAAGTATTTATTTATTTATTTATAATATTTTGTTAATTTGAAATTAAAAAAAAAAGTCTCTCCGTCTCACACAGACACACAATTATATGTTTGTTTTAAAAAAGAACACACTCAAGAACACATAGAACACATAAATGCACACACTCCATATTTTATGAGTTTATTCTTCATGAATCTAAAATCATAAATCGAATATGAAATCATTTGTTCTTCAAATCGTTTTTGGGACTTAAAAATCCCAAAAATCGAATCTAGAATCGATTTTTGTATGTGCAGTTTTCGTTTGTGGAAATCGATTTGTGTATGTGTTTTCATTTCTAAAATCGATGTATGTATTTGAAATCGTTTAAATAAGGTGTGTGCTTGTGTCTATCTCCGCCCAAAACTCATTCTTGAAAGGAGACAACCTTATAAATCGATTTTTGGGATTTGTTAGGGTAGGAAAGTGTCG